CCACTTTTACCGGATCCTCGACTTCAAAGGTTGGTCTATCTCGTGGTTCCGGGTCTTTTTCGTTCGGAACTCGAACGCAGGCGACACTTCCGTTTGGTAAATCCGCAATGTCCGCCATTACCGTCGCCATTCGGGGCATTGGAATTAACGTTGGACGATTTCGTGAGTCTGAGCCTTCGCGAATTAACGGACACGAAGAACGAAGAGACGCAAGGAGAAAAATCATTACCTTTGGGAATAGAGAAGAAGGATAACGAGGAGTCTACTGTTCGGGAACCTACCACGAGATATCTCAAGTGTCCGGCTGCTGTGACGGTTCGTCATCTCGTACGTTTGTTGACCCTGAAAAGAGGTTGGGAAGAGACGAATTCCGGAGTTAACATGGCTAACAGAATAGAGATGACGTGTGAGGATTACAACGGAGATCCTCGCGGTCGCCGAAAGCCAGACGTTTTAAAAATGTCTTGGACGTTGTTGGACTTGGCCTGTATCTTCGGATGGAAGAAGGTGAATAATCACGACGACGATCATTATCGCGCGATCACGATTGATCATAATCGCGCGTAAGTCATTGATGTTCTTAATAGAATTTAGCAAAAAGGGAGGTTCTTTTTTTCTTTATGTTACAGGAAGCACCGTTGAAGCTATTTTATCGTATCGTTCCTCGAAAGGAAGAATCGGCATCTACTTCGAAATCTAGCCCATGTAAGAAGGATAACAACAAGGACGGTCCTACCATTGAAAATATTCAAAGACCGCCAACGCCACCGCCAAGTCCAAAGCCTGTTCAAGATAACGATGCGGAATCTCGGCGGACGTTCGGAAGTAGGACGGAAGCTCCTCGTACATTGGAAACTACGAAAGAGCAAGGAAAAGAGACGAAATCAAAGAAACCCCGTTGCGAAGTCACTCCCGTGATGAGAGCGCCTGATCCCGTTGGTATCTCGTCGGTCACGATGCAGCAAAGCAATCATGCTACAGAGAGTTCAAGGACAAAGGAATTAGCGAGGTTGGAGCATCGAAAGCGAAGGAAACGGCGAAACAAACGTGTAATCGCGGAAATCACTACTACACCGAGAGAGGATCTCCTTAAGTTGAAGGTCAGGTTAACTCCTTGTCCACCGAGAATTACGTCCAGTAGTAGTAATGGCCAAGCTAAAGAGAAATTGTTACAAATGAGGGCCGTCCGACGAGAAAAGCTCAAGGCTTGCGCGTTGAATCAAAAACGTTCGGTAAATTTACCTCGAGAGGAGGATAATATCAGTAAGGAGTGTCCCGTTGAGTCCGAGGAAACGATAGAGGATATCATAGATTGTATACCGGACGAGGTGGTCAGAGTCGCTCAGAACATTAATGTTCCGGCTCAGGATGATAATTCTTCTCACGATAAAAAAGATAATGAAAAGTCTCCGAAAGTGTCGATTCAACAGAAAGAGGAGACACAAGTCGCTGAGACGCTTAGTAAGTCGCCGATCGAAAATACCGTAACTACAGTGGAACGTCCGAAGAAGGACGAGGAGATTCTACGGAGGCTAGGCTTGGTAGCGATAAACGAAGCAAACGAGTCCTTGCGTGACAAGGCGAAGCAACGCGGTCAGAATTACAACGAGAAACCGAACGACTTGGATCGGGAAAAGTTGGAGAAACAATTACGGGAGAGCAAGGCAAATCGCGTTAGGAGTTTATTAGCTGAGAAACAAATGCGGGACGCATTGAAAGGTATAATGTCTAAGACGAAGGAAGAAGGAGGTTCGTCGACTTCTTCGATGCAACACGGTATAGGTCCGTGCCCTAAAAAGAAGGGTCCACCTCCGTTGGCGCCTTTACGAGTGGTTAAACCTTCCTCCGGATTCGCCGTAACGAGCACAATGGTGGAATCCAACAATCCAAAGTACGAAACTCCCTTAGACCTAAGCAACGGTGGGACGGTTAACGACAACGTTCTAGATTTGTCCTCGACATTGCAGAGTTCCTCCATAGGTTTTTCAGCATCATCGGCATCCTCCTCGCCGTCTCCATCTTCCTCATCAAATTCTTCTTCCTCGTCGTCGTCGTCTTCTTCATCATCTTCATCGTCATCATCTTCATCTTCTTCTACTTCTTCTTCCTCGTCCATATCTACGCCACCTTCTTTGCCTTTGCTCAACAGACCTCAACAGACCAGCCTAACCATGGGAAGTTTCCTTCGTAAATCCAAGGATATGGAACAACGTAGAGGGCAAGACTCCAATCTGCGTACACTCTCGGACGTTGCGGTTTCTCGTCTTAGCAGCTGCATCAGCGAGAAAAATTCCATCGAGTCTCACCTACTTGGTTCAACTGGTATACCTGCTAGCAAGGTCGCATTGCGTATTCCACAACCACATCACCGTATATCATCTGGCTATGGTATGAAAAACAAGCCAAATCTTGGTGTAAGGCATATACCCAATCCCCAAGCTGTCGTCGCTTCTCAATACAGAAATCAAAGAGCCGTTTATTTCAATAACCTTTCCCAGCA